CCCGGCGGACCCTGGAGTCCAGGACCTCCTGCACCTCGTACTGCGACCCGGTGACTGGTCCCGGTGCTGGTTGTGGGGGCCCGGCTGCCAGTTTTAAGAGACTCCCGTGAAACACGGGATGCACTTTGCCCAGGAAAGGGGGCAATCTCAGGCGGACAGTCACCGGGTTGAGTACCTGGACTATTTGGAACGGTCCAACGTATTTAGGACCCAGTTTCTTACAGGGCACCCGGAGGTTAAGATATTTGGTGGCTAGATAAACCCAGTCCCCCACCTTGAAGGCCTGATGCTCTGCCCGTTTTTTATCGGCCTGTGCTTTTGCGGCCGCCTCAGCCTTGAGCAACGCCTCTTTAACCCTTCCCCAGAGGCCTGCTACCCGTGTTGCCCATGCTTGTGTGGTGTGTGGAGTGACCGCCCCTTGGGCCCACTCGGGGATGGGGACAAACTCCACCCCATGTACCACCCGAAAGGGAGTGAACCCAGTGCTGCTGTGCACGGTGTTGTTGTAGGCGGCTTCCGCAAACGCCAGGAGGTCCACCCAATCGGTCTGCCGGAATGATATGTAGCTACGGAGGTAGCGTTCCACCATGGCGTTCGCTCTCTCTGCTGCTCCGTTGGTGCTGGGGTGGTACGCCGAGCTGAGGCCCTGGGAGGTTCCAAGGAGCTGAAGGAAGTCCCGCCAAAAGCGCGCCATGAACTGCACCCCCCGATCCGAAATTATACGCTGTGGCACCCCGTGCAACCGGTACACGTGTTGGATGAACAGTCGGGCGAGGCGTTGGGCCGACGGCAGGCCCCGGCACGGAATGAAGTGGGCCTGCTTCGAAAATAGGTCGATGACAGTCCAGATGACGGTGTGGCCGCGATTATCTGGGAGGTCAACGATGAAGTCCATAGCCAGTACCTCCCACGGCTGTGTTGGGTCGGCCACCTTTTGCAGCAGGCCCATTGGCTTCCCCACCCGTGGCTTAGCAGTGGCACAAATGTGGCAGGCCTTTACATATGTTTCCACGTCCGGTTTCATCCGGGGCCACCAGAACTGCCTCCGCACCAGATGTAAGGTCTTAAGGAATCCAAAGTGTCCGGCCTGCTTGGCGTTGTGGCACCGTTGGAGGACAGTATGTCGTAGGGCCTCGGGGACGTACAGCTTGTCTCCCCTCCAGGCCACCCCCCCCCTCAGTGTCAAGAGACCCGGGTGGTCCCGCAACCAAACATCGTTCCGGGTGGTCCCGCAACCAAACATCGTTCCGCCACTAGTATGGACCTTAACCTGCCAAAGAGCATTTGAAGGCCTTAAAGCCTTGTTCGCCAAGGAACCTGTACTACTCCACCCGCAGCCCGACGCCCCCTTCATCGTACAGGCGGACACCAGTGACGTGGCCGTTGGCGCAGTACTGCTCAGTCGGCAACGGACGGTGTGACAGTAAGTCAGCACTGTTATAACATTTACTGCATCTATAAATATACATGCGGAGCACAACTGATTGGGCAAATACAAACTCTCCTGCACATTTAATCAATATTGTTTCTTAAGATTTGCAAAAAGTTATATTTCTTACTGCCTCTTTCTTCCTAAGCTTCAAATTAATTTTCTTTCTTTTGATGGAAGGTATCGCTACCCAAAGGCTAGA